TGGTTCATGTTTAAAGCACAACCTTCTCTATTTCATACTGAAGACAAGAAAAATGATGTCTGTCCTACTTCTGCCAGCGCTGGGAAACACGTTAGGGATCGCTCAATGCATCTGATTGGATCCCTGATCCCAGGCGGATATATATTGATAACTGCGTCTGGGAGACGGTCTTCCGAGTGGCTGATGCTTGAGTCAGCAGAGAGAACTGTTTGTCTGTATCCTCAGCTGTTCTCAGAACAGCCAAACCCTCTAGTGTCACATGAGCAAGAACAGAACCTTTTCTTAAATTGCATCATTCTGCAAAACTGTGGGACAGTCAGTGGACAGAGACATAAGTTTCAAACTGGCATGTAAACATAACAGATGCCACATGCAGATGCACCAGTAATTGGCTGAGCTTATTTCATTTACCCCTATACGGAACTTATTTACTTCCTACTAGTAATGCAACACACATGTTGGCAATCAATGGATTGCCAATTTTAGAAAGAAGTCATTCACATACAGGCCGATAACATTATTACAGCAGAATGTCCAAGATAATAAAAAGATAAACATTCATGTTGGCATTTGGTTTAAAAAGCCTTTACACCATTTTAGCTAAAGTTTAAATTTGAGTCTAAAAATATCATGTGGTGTAACAAAAACAATAATGTATTTTTCTTACACCTTAAAGAGCAGGTCATATGGGTTTTTGAAAAATATCTCTTTTGCAGTTTATAACGTAGCTATCCTTAAATGAAAACAATCTGCAAAGTTGTTAATCAAAAAAAGTGCATGATAAATAAAGATATTGTCTCCCAAAAGAGAGTCAATTCTGAATCGCATTAACGAGTCGTCATATTTCCGAATCTTTTGCCTGTTACCGGTATATGTCACTGGGTAACACATTTGCATAATAACCCTGCCCGGAATATGAACAGAGTCTGACCTGCCGAGTGCCCACAAACACTTCCACTAGTTAGTGTGTTTACATCATGTCAAGAAGACGCTATTTCAAAGGATGCCACAGAAGTACAATTCAAACCTTTTGTTTTGTGCATGTCATTTTACTAAGGACTGCTTCTCTAATCTTGTCTTTTATCTTCGTTGGCTTCTAATCTTCTTTATTTGGGCTAACAAGCTCTCCGAACCACAACCTATAAGTACGATTGACACGTTATGTGTACATTTTCAATTGAGTGCTCAAAATATCAAGTTTTTGTGCTAATATGTGATGTACACCTAGTGCATCTTTAGGTTTCCAGGAAAAGCACGATATTACTGTCTTACTGAAGTAGTTCTAATAATTCGCTGTGAACTAGGGCTGCACTATGAAATCGAAAAGGAATCGAAATCGTGATTCGACAGAAGCTGCGATTGTCATGCGTATCTTTCAGTGAAACATGGTTCTGTGATCAGCAGTAAATGAACATCTGGGTTGTGCTGTTCTGTTGTAAATAAATCTTAACCAATGATTCCTAATTGCATCTACTTCCGGAAGGCCAAATAAAGTGCTTTTGCTTTCGCACTGAAACACACAGCGTCTCCCTGACATGGCTGCATCAACACTACTGCTGTTCCTGAAACCACGTCTTCTTTCTTTGTGTGCACATTTGGGCGGCATTATGCTAATATTTCCACATAGTGACGTAGGTATGTGGGGGCGTGTTAGAACGAGCCGTTTTAGGTAGGCGTGGTTGACTCTTAACTTTTATAAAGAATATCTCTTTGGATTTGAGACTTTAGTCTTTGCAACTTTACAGATCGTCTTTATGCACCAAGAGCTTGTAACACTCCAAAGAGAAAGGAAAACTTGAAATTGCATCATATCACCCCTTTAAAATACCATATGACCTGCTCTTTAAGTATGTTTCCACACCCTAATCATTATTTTGAACAAGTTTATATATATTTAGAAATGTATTTATTAATTCAGACATATTGTATCGTTTAGGCAGGTTGTACCATATGACCTTGATATTAAAATCTAAGCTAGCCTTGCCTTGTAATAAAAAGTATCCATATGTTTCTGCATGTTGGCCACACATTGTGATTTTTATTTGGCATACAACATTTTTTGAAATATGTATAATATTTTAATAAAACTGCTTTGCTGCTTTTAATAATAGCAAAAGCTTATTCCAAACTACTTTTAAAGAATTTCATCCTCGTAATGAGGCTTTCTCTGTATTAATTTCCTCACCTCCATGTTGTTCCAAACATGCAAGACTTCTTTGGAACACAAAAAAAGATATTTTGAAGAATGTTGGGGTGCAAAAACCATTGACTTTCATTGTATGGAAAAAAAGAAAGAATATCTTCTTTTGCATTTCACAGAAGAATGTGAGTTATACAGGTTTAGAACTACACGAGGGTGAGTGAATGACTTTTAATTTTTTAACTTCCCCTTTAATTCTTCACTTACATTGTAATGCATTTACTTCTTAATGTATTTTTGTATAAATTAACATGTCATTGACTCACACGCTTAGCAGTCCTCTGGATGCTGAGAAGTTTACATGAATACCTGGCCAACCACATTTATACGTCAAAGGCACCTATTGGCTGTTCAAAGTCATGATGAGGTAATAAGGACAAATCAGGAGATTTTTACCTATTATTTTACCAATTATTTCTAAATATCAAAAAAAGTCAAATGTGGTTAAAAAAAACATTTTTTTGGTAAAACCTTGCACTATTTCTGGCTTTGTGTAGCACCTACGCCTCTGTAAACTCTTCTGAAAAAAAAAAAGCAGTTGACATGTATTTTTGTCCAATGTGTACCAAGTATATTGGATCTGACAGAAAACCTACAGCTTGTGTGTGTGCGCATCATTATAAATGGACCTCATGGAAAGAAATTAAATAATAAAAAGGATCATACAACCTCTTAATATTATTCTTTTTACACAAAAATCAGAGTCTTTTAGCACAGCTTTGTGCATGTGAGAGTGCGATTTCATCCTCTGTTATAAGGATCTGGTGATTCTGCAAAAAGTTGGTTCCATGAGATCTGTAAGCAGCAGCCTGTGGCAGAATTCCAGGCCATTCCCTGCATCAATGTGAGTTTTATCCAGAGAACATGAGCACACACAAAGACCTGCGTGTTCTCAGGGTTGCCTGCAAACCCGAGGAAATTGTGAATATGACTTCTTGGATTTAGTGACCTTTGAGAGAGGATAGGAAAATCTCATGCTGACTGCAGACTTGACTGCATGACATCATAGCAGTTAAGATCACTATAATAATACTTTGTCTAATGCATCACAATAACCAAGAGAAGCACTACAAGCATCAAAGAAACAGTTCATCCAAAAAATGAAATTTCTGTCAATTTTCTCACCCTCATGTTGTTTCAAACGCTTTGTTTCTTCTGTGGAACATGTAAGATAATATTAATAAAGTCAAATCAGTGTGAAGGTAGCATAAAATAATAATAATATTTTTACTGAAAACTGAGAGGTTTCTGTCCGTCCTTTGAAGGTCCAGGTTACCAAACATAGAAGATCCAAAGAGGTCATAAAGACATTGTGAAATGAATTCAGATGAATCTAAATCTTGTGAAGAGATACAATTGGCTTTACTTAATAAAGGCTATACCTCATTGGTACTTGTTTATCACACATGCATATTTAAGCTTCTGGGTTTATCAAATGTGACATGCTATCTTTATTTAGATATAAATAAAAGGCTAAATTAAATCTATTCATCATATAAAATGATCATATCTCTTCAGTCATCATAAGACATTAAACCAGTCGATTCACATGGATTAATTTTACGATGCCTTTATGTCCTTTTTTGGCTCTCTACCTTTTATGGGTTTGGAGCAACACGAAGGTGAGCAAATGATTCAAAATTTTCATTTTTGGGTGAACTATCCCTTTAATCATTAAACGAGATACACAACTTGCCTGGAAATAAACAGGCTATTGCATATATGCTGACTACTAAACAAAACCATGCTGCCCACATTAAATTGCAAACGTATTTTTAAAAATAACCCTTGTCAAGCTTGCTGTACATGTAAGCTTGAATCAAAATAAATGTGCTGTGCTCTAGCAGCTCTCAAAAGGATCCGTCAGTGCATTTACAATAAGACAGCTGCATCATGGGGGATGGGTGGGCCTCCCCCCTTCTCTCCCTCTCTTTTCAGTAAAAGCATCCAACCATTCGTCATCTGAGACATCATTATGACTACATATGTGATGATGTCATGTTTCGGCTGCTACGCAACAATATTCCATAGATTTTTTTCCCAAGGAGACACGCCTTGATGTGTGCGGACCGGCCTACAGGCCACAGCAGGGGACTATGCTGGAAGATGCATGGATGATGTTAGAGATGCTCGCATCAACACCAGAGATGGTCGCATCATCCCATGATGCTCGCATCAGCACCGCCGCGTCCCACTGGCTCTCTGCGGTCAGCCATCAACTACAACTGTGACCCATATCAATACATCCCAGGCCTTTGAAAACCTCTGCTTGCATGTCCAATACTACGAATCTTTGTTGTTCTCAAGGGTGCTGAAGGTATCTGCTTATCAACAGTCTACCTAATACTGTCCACAACATCTTTGCATGCATCAACTTCAATAAAAATAACAAGCAATGCAGGTGGTTTCATGCACATTTTATTGTATTTATATAAATGCTGTGTTTTTATGCTGCAAGATGTTGCAATCCAAGGTTGTCAATTTAAAGGACAAACCGTGTGGTAATGCAGACAAAAGAAAAACTCTAAAACACAACATATGACTGCAGTATAAAACATATCCTCTTATAAAATTAAACAATAGGTTGTTCATCGGCATAAGGCATGCGTGATGAATTACTTCATTCAAATAATCAGAAGGCAATAAACACAAAATATGCCCTATGCCTCCCAGCAATGCATAAGAATCAACAATAATCCCACTTTCACACGCATGTACGCACTGACATTGCGTTAACACATCGGCATTGCATTGACATTCGCATTTGATGTTCACACTATGAGATGCTGAGTATGTTTACCTTTGTATATAATTCAGACGCAGCCATGATGATGGTCGCACAATGTTCCTGCAATCACAGTCAGCTGAACATCCGATCAGTCCCGAACATTCAAAGCTCTCCTGTAGATCTCACTCAGTGAAAAGCCTTTAGAAAGATGTCATGAATCCAAAGGCACCGGCTCATTCCTCATGAATCTAGTCGTGTTTTGGCGTGTCTCTGTTCGTTCTGGGTGCGATCTATGCAGAGAATGAGTCAATGAAATCGCGCTTGCCGTGACCGAGAAAAAAAATGACACAAGAGTGCGCTCTGGTGGACAACACTGGACCACCACACACTGGCATCCCACCAGTTTTCTCTATCTGTCAATATCAATCTATCTATGAACAACAGTGTTGGGGGTAACGCATTACAAGTAACGCGAGTTACGTAATCAGATTACTTTTTTCAAGTAGTAAAGTAACGCATTACTTTTTAATTTACAAGAGAATATCTGAGTTACTTTTTCAGATAAGTAACGCAAGTTACTTTTTTTTTCCAATTTATTGATTGACAGCTCTCCTGTCCCCATGTTGAGAGAAATCAGATGTTATTGTAGTTCTAAAATAAATATGAATATGCATTCATTTATCTCACTAACAAAAAACAACAACACAGATTCAGTATTCCTCAAAATGAATACAAATAATGCAACTCAGAATATGACGCAAACCTGCAATAATTAAATGTTAAACAACACAAATATCCTTTATGTATTTAATCCCATTCTATTAACCAATGTCTTTGCATCTGACCTTCGATGATCCAGTTCAACCGTACTAATAAGCAAAAATTACTCTAGACAAACATTTGTGTCTTTTTTTATTGCTGAAGTGTGTTGAAATTTCTTCTTCTGCATTCTACTGTACGGAC